CCATAAAAATAACTTTTCTATTGCAGATATATCAAAGATATCTAGATCTATGGACTCCCCATGTAATATCACGATGGATATTTGTCCCTATTTCTATTAGTACTTTTTATTCTACGTATATTTATCTCTCAAGTATGGTATTTCTTGTCAATTTGCTCAAGTTTGCTTATCGAGTTTTCTTGATTTTTTAAATATATATTGCAGGACACTATAAAGATACTTTTGTGTTTGCAGGGGTGGTATATTATTACATACGCACTAGGAATTTATCACCTAAATTTGTTTATAGCATTCCTTACTCCAAAGATTGATCCAGCCATGGATTTTGATGGTGAGATCAAATTAGCAAATTACTAAACCAATAAATTACTTTCCAAACTTTTTTATAATTAATTGTTTTATATTTTATATATATTTAATTGTTTTATATTTAATTATTTCACAATCCAATTGAGCATACATAGAAAGCGAAACTCAATGAAAACTATATAGATTATATAGATATAGAAACTATATAGATAAAATTAAATACGTATAATTTGATCAAGAATTTCATATTGTTCTTTTTGTGATTAACTTTGACGTGATTAGAATTAAAAAGTTACTTCAACTTGAAATAAAATTATACAGATGGAGAAGGTCCAGAGTTACCTACCAGGTCAAATGAGGAGTTTAAGCCGTTTATCAGAAGATTACCCGAATTTAAATTTTGGTACTCAGTAACAAAATCTACGGTAGTTGCCATGATATGCACGCTATTCGATTGTTTTAACATACCAGTATTCTGGCCGATACTTGTTATGTATTTCATAACATTATTTTGTATCACAATGAAGCGGCAAATAAAGGTAAGAGATCACCAAATAAGTTTCACATAAAGTTTCTATGTGTTGTGTGTTAATGCAATGACATGTTAAAGCAAAGATTACATACAAGAGATCTTTATAAATCTACATCTAAATGGGAGGATTTTTCTTTTAAGTTGCGCGTACGCTGTGCAAATGAATATTTTCTTGAATAATCTTACGAAAGCTAGGGCAAACGGTTAACAAACATTTTTATTCAAATTAAAAATTTATTCTTTAATTCATTTTTTATTTTCCCACTTAATTTTAATTAACCGATCTCTTTTTATTTGCAGCATATGATCAAGTATAGATATCTACCATTTACTCATGGCAAACCAAAATATCAAAACCATGAAGATACCTCGCGGCTAATATCATCAAAATGAATAGAAGCAAAGAATATATTGAGCCTGTACAGGGGTGTAAGCATAGATTTTAATTTCTCTTAGTACAGGGCGAGGCAATACTAGTGAGAGAAGAGAAAAAAATTGAAAAAATTTTTTTTACGCCATTGAAAGGAAAGGTTATTGCCTTGTACAAGAAAGGATTGTGTGGAGTCTTGTAACTCAAAATTATATAATGTACGGCATACAAACCAGATTATCTTAATATATTTGTATCATAAAACTTGTACAAAGTATTGTTAGCTCTTATCTCATTAAAAGTAACGAGGGAAAAGAAACAATATGGTCACAGTATCAATATCGAATGCAGTTGTTGATGTAATAAACGAGATTTATACATATATAAAAGATTTAAGTTCGTAATTCATGGGTGCTTTCCATTTAATTATATTTTCTCCAATTTGCTAGCTTTGCTTTTTATTTAAGTATTGCGTATCGGTCTATCTTAAGTGGAATTCTGTTTAAACAGCAAAAAGAAAGAGAAAGTTCATGTAAGCCAAATTCTATTTGTTAAATTATATTACAGAAATATTGTATCTTTAGAATGTATTTATATGTACACAAATATATTTAGAATATAATTTAAATCAAATCAATTTTTGCTTCATATTAATAAACTGTATGTGCCGTTACTATAAATTATACGAAAATAAATTAGTCTCAAGTATTTCTAAGCATTCGAAACACTACATTGTACATAGTACTTAAGATATATTGCTTTCCATTCATTATGTTGGAGATATCGATTTGAATTAACTTGATTCGATCCGACATAGACACATAAAAATCATATAAATGGAAAGCGCCCGATTTGTTTATAATTGAAGAGTATCTCTTTCTCGACGCGTACATTCCATGCGGTTTATTTGTATTTTCAATAGTAGCTGTTTTTTTTCTCCAGCTTTATTTGGACATTTAACCTATTCTTAATTTAAAAGCATTAAATCACAAAATATTCCATCTAAAATTTCCAATATGCCATCTTTAGATTTCCATCAGTTTCTTCTCCCTTAAATTATAAGGATCGAAATTTTTAAATGCAGAATATGTGTCCAATCTTACACAATTGACTAATCTTGATTTTTTCCAAGAGTTTACTATTCCTTAAAATAATCCCACCTTATAATTGTTTATATTACTAATATGTACAAAAAATTGTCTTAAAGTGATTTTTGTGAAGAAAAATTTATTGATTTATCGATAACAGATATTAAATGCAGGTTTATGTACTCTCTTTTATATTGATATTAGTAGTATCAAATTGATTTCTAAAAATAATTCTATCTGAATTATTTACACATGAAAAAATTATCTTAGAAGTTTTACATATTTGAAATAATATATTACTTTAATATTAAATGAAATTCTAAATTTGTATTAGGATTAATATCATATTGATCTTATATTACATCACAATATATATTATTATTATAAATATTATTGTAATTATTTTGTGCACGCGGAAAGTTAGCCTTGATTTTCCTTAAAAGCATTCTGATATTTTAAAATTATAAAAATTTTAACATCAACATCAAAAAGAACTGTATTATTGGAATATCTTTTTTGAACTGATATTAGTTTGCATTTTTGCGAACTCGGAACCTCCTATTTCTGATACAATTCGATAGCGTAATATATCGTAAAGAAACATGTGCAATTGTCTTTTAAGATTTTTTCTTTAACGTTTGTGTATTGCAATAATATAAATATACAGTTTGTATGTTCTTATTTGGTAAACAATTCATGACCAAATAAAACGATGCATCGTAAAAGAAGCAGCGTTTGTCAAGATGCATGATTATTTTATCTTAGTACATCTAATAATTACAGTTTTTTATACTCTTACTAATACCAAATGTAAAATTAAAACTTGATCTTGAAAGGGATACGCATGTTGGTATGTAAACGAAACATATTTTTAATTAGTTTTCTGGATTATATTTAACTATTTCAATATCATTAAAATCAGAAATTATAAGATATAAATTTTTTATAAGATATAAATTTTAGTACTGTGATATGACACGCACACACCATACACACACGCACACACACACACACACACACACGCGCGCGCGCGCGCGCGCGTACAAAATTATTGAATATTTTAAAATTATAGCCGCATGTTACTAATTTATTGGGTTTCAATTATATATATTTCATTGTTAATATTTAGAATTAAATAAGTGATTAAACTATGTTTTATTAACGATTGCAATAAATTTTCTGCTTTAACCATATGCATTTCAAAACTCCGTGAGTGAAACGATGCTCAGAAAAATAAAATTTATACGAGAAGAGATTTGATACAAAAATTTTTATAAACAAACATATAACAGTCGGATTTATTTCATTGTACATAGCGAAATATTTCTCCGTGAAATACTTATTGATACTTATAGATGACAATTACGTACAAGTGCTTATGCATATGTAAAATGTAAAACTCAGAATTGGCATATTCTTAAAAAAAAAAAATCGATCGAATTTTATATATTAACATTAAATATTACACTGTCCAAAGATATGTAGCGAAGTGTTCAGCTATATGAGCGATAAATTTTATTTTCACAGGTTTTTCTATGTATGTGTGGATATGTAAGTGTGTGTGTGTGTGTGTGTGTGTGTGTGTGCGCGCGCGCGTGCGCGTGTGTGTGTGTGTGTGTGTGTGTGTGTGTGTGTACTCGTATATACATTTTTGATTAATGTTCTGCGGAGCGTCACCAAATTTGTATACTGCTTTATTCTATGTTCTTCGTGTGAAAAATATAGATTTATTCAAAATATATGCAAAGAGAAAATAAAATTCTTAACGATCAGGTATAATTTGTTTTATTTTTATTATTCCATATTGTACAACTTCCTTTCATTTTAGATCAATTTCTCATAACTCTTCAATTTTTCCAGTTTACTATCTAATCATCTTGGAAAGATAAATAAATTTACATAATACAAGTATAATGTAATTGTAATTAAATAGAATGATGTGTGTGTGTGTGTGTGTGTGTGTGTGTGTGTGTGTACGCGCGCGCCACGCGTGCACGTGTGTATTAATCAATTATTAATTCTTTTACATAACAATTAGTACAGTAAAATATCAATTATTTGGAAGCAACTACCGATTTAACTCGAATATTTCAAATAACTCAACGATGATTTGTATTATATTATTTTATCTATTACATCGTTTTGAGTAGTTTATCATATAATATACAATATACCATGTTCCCTTTTTGGATGGTATTTTAATCTCTTGTTAGGAAGAGAGGGAGAAGAAGTAGAGAGATCAATTAATTAGTATCTATTGATCTACATAACTGCAATTAATCTAACGTTGAGTGATCTTATTTAAAAATCTTGATATGAATATTTATCACAAATAGAATTCGGATAGATGTTGTAACACGACATGCTATTGAACGCCGAGTGAAAAAATAGCAATAGAGAGAGTTACATTGTATTTACTTTTAATTGTTGTCTCTCATTTAACACTAACGTAAAATAGCTAAGCAACATGTTACATTTATCTATACTTGGACTTATCCGACTTGTATTACTTATAACAACTATAACGAAAATTATTATAGAAATATTAAACAATGTTTGCAATTTTCGAAATGCAATTTTACAGAATACATTCTTGTCACGATTTCTCTTAATTTGTCTAGTTCTTTGTAGTCTTTAATAATTGAGATTCTGTAGTTATACATATACATTTTTCTCTCTTTTTTTTTGCGATCGTAATAGATTACAAAGTCAGAAGCGAAAATAACTACGTTTATTTTTTTCTCTTGTACTACATATAAAAATAAATTTTTTATGTTCACCGCTCACATTCGAGCATATATTCATAAAATATATCAATATTTTCTTAAATTTTTTTCTTACCTCAATAAATAAAGTGCAATATAATCTACATACATAGTTATAAAAATTCCTCAAGAGATTGATCCATTATTTACTAATCCATAAAGAAAAAAGGAAATCTTTGATATATTCGATAAATCTGCAAAAATTGTCATTGACGAATAACGAGTAAATATACAACCGAAAGAATGGATGTCACATAATTTCTCGCTTGTGATGTTGTAATTCAACAAGACTGCAGTAATTGCTCGTAATGATATGCGTAAAAAGTCTTAGCAAGATGACAATATTGAAAGAATGTTCCTTTTGCATAGATTTATGCCATTGCTTGTGTGAATAATTATACACAAGACATTCTTCTGGAAAGCCGCGAAAATCTCAAGGCTAGCGCGGCAGATGGCGATAATTTTTATACAACTGTCCGATCATTCGTAAAGAACACTCTACCGATGACGCAATCAACAAGAATGCGATTATGCAACGAGACTCGTTCCACATTGAAATTTCTCTCATCTTATTCGTTGAGATCCTCCGAAATAATCCTTTTGGACTTGTCGAGAAATGTTGCAGTTGAATTCAGGCCTATCACTGTCGTAGTAGTGGTCTCACTGACAGTGGATTCCCGCTTTCGATATGGATTCGATGGTTGGCATAATCTGCAATCCATGAGAAGAAAATAAAGAGAATCGGAAAGTGAGAATTGCCGTATCGGAATTTAAATTTAAAAAAAAAACCAAAAAATGCAAAGTAAGAAATGGCGAAACGGTGAGTCAGTGAATCGATGAGAATTCAAGCCGACAAGGCTATCAACTTTTTCAAATTAGATCATGTTTCTGATATCGATTACCATATCGCGTAGAAAAGATCAATTTTATTATTTTTTTGTTCGCATTTTATGTCGTTTATATATATATGTATATATATATATGTGTATGTTATATGTAAAATTATTTTGGACATAAGGTACGCGTGAAACGAGTACCTTATGCTCTCCGTTCTTGAACGAGGGGACCAATTGTTATAATACCTCCGGCGGGTGCCAAGATTTCGCGTGGTGCTCCATCGTGTGAAATGATGCCTAACCGTATTTTGCACTTCGGTATTGAGAAAGCAGTAAAACAACGCCACAAAGAATCCCTGAAAAAAGAAGAGAGGTGAAAACGAATTACAGTTTGTTTTCTTGGGGTTGGCAGGGCCACTTTTCGCCTCGGTGAAAACGAGATTATGGGTTTATATCGCACTTTTTTTTCGAGAACGAGTCTCGAATCTCAAGTTCTAACTCTTGCCGATAAAAAAGAAAAAAAAAAAAAAGAAAAAAACTAAATACCAGGTTTTGTATCTTGCTCGCTTTCCATTCCCGACATAATTTTTACAATACAAGGGACAATATAAGAAAGACGGAAAATCGTATAATCATCCCGAAACAACAAAGTTGTAACTACGGATTAAAACAAAGTTCCAAAAAGGTGCGACCGATAAATTCACTTCTCGTTTAAATTTGATCGCTTGTGTTTTCTCACACGTAATGACTGTTACCTGCGAAGAAAGCAGAATCGCACGCGCATAGGAGAATGCATTCGCGACTTGGCCTTCGGTGGGTCCAGCTATGACCAGCACGTATGTCACTCCTAGAAGCGGTATCAATACCAAGAGAGCTTTGCTGGCTTTCCGATATTGTTGCGTCTCTACATTGTTGGAGGACCACAGTTTCGTTATCAACACCTGCGCAGGACCACGCGACGATATATTCATATTCAATTCGTTTGAATTCGTTTAGAATAAGATGACAATGATAATGTAGGATATAGCTCATAAATGAATCTCTTTCTATTTTTTTCGTTATTTCAACAAGACCCTTTTTTATTTCGCTAATTCCGCATACAACCACGTAGAATCATCCAATGATCTCGTTTCGATCTCGAGGTATACGCTTTAACACCGTAAATTATGACTACGAGTTTCAACGAGTGTGGGAGAAGCAATTTCGCACCGGATACGCCGAGTGAATGACGGCCGTTTTATCGCGCGCTTCTCGTCACGAAATCACAGATTGCGTTAAATTGAACCGTTATCCGTTATATATGCCGTACATATGCCATTATATTCGCTCGCTCTCTAAACGATATGAAAAATGTAAATAGCGTTCTAAGATTAATTCCAGCGACAGGCTGCACTCACCCGCATAATCATGAAAAGAAACATCACGTTTACCGCTAGAATTATTATAGCGGATGCTTGATAAAACCAATCGTATGGATGCGGTATCATCCAGGGACAGTGCCTCCAGAGCGCTACTTCCTGTCATCAGCATTGCGTCCATAATTAATTAGCATACTCGCAATATCGATAGCGTTTATGACTGAAGACGAATCAATCAAGTTCAACTTTTATTATACACGTTAGGCATTCTTATATAGTGTAAATGCATTAATAAATGTCTCCTCCGACACTTTTCTACTTGGCACATCTGAGTATATAAATAATATATTTACGTCTACATTCTACAAGATGTAAATGTCGACTTAACTTCAGTTCGACTTAATTCGCCATCATTCGCAAATGCATATCATTCTCGTGTATATATATATATATATATTTTTGCAAATATTTAATCAACCTTATCAACATTTTTCTCAATGAAATTTCAATAAATTTGTTAAAGTTCATTTTAGAAAAAAAAAAACAAAGGATAAGAGGCTCTATGCTCACTCAGTTTGAGCATTTTCTTCCATCAAGTTGAATCGCGCCGAAAAACCTCTTGTCTTTAAATCAGTTTATAATCTAACAATCATACAACCAACATTTTTGCAACTAGATATTTATGACAACAAATTTAACAAATCTTTCAAACGAACAATCTCATCGATCTTGCAATATTGCTCGTAATCGGCAAGAGGTCTTTCCGTGAGCGCGTGTTAAAAAGTAAAATGGTTTGGTGCGTATCGAACATTCGTCTGGACGTTCGATCGAACGTCCGACGTAAAACCATCCCATGTTTTCTACACGTGGATATTATTCCTCTTTCTCTTCTCGCGTGTCTCCCCTCCCTCCTTCTTGTCACGTACTTGGACGATAGCGGCGTGACTTAATAGGCAACTTAATAGGTGACTGAAATTTTGATCGATATTTTCGACGCCATTCATTATCAGTTCGCTACGTATGAGCGCTATCGGGAAATGAAAGAGTTCTCGCGCAAAAAAATGGAAATTCGCTGTTGCAAATATGTCTACTCGTAACGTCAGAAACATTGTCGTTTATATTCATACCTGATTAGCTTGCTTCATGACGTGGTTTATGACTTTTTGATCCAACGACTTGGCGATACCCCACATGGTTATCACAAGCACCGGGACACCTGAGTTTATTTGTTTTCTTTATTAGTTTATTACTTTCTTTTTTGTTATCATCGTTTTATGTTTTACATTCTGTGAATACGATGACTCTTTTCTCTCCCGCGATTCTACAGTGCTCGCTTACCCCAGCCGATTAGTAGGCAGAGTCTCAGCTTGATATTGTCGCCGGTGAATGTTTTCACGACCAACAGATACAGATACAAACCTACGAAAGATGAGAGATAAGAGACAAAGCGGTGACGATAAATGCGCTTCTAATAAAAATCCAACGAACGTGTAACGTTTCTTAAAAAAAAAAAAAAAAAATAAAATATA